AGGCCAGCCTGCACTACACAATGAGACCTTCTATCTAAAATAAACAACACAACACAAAACAAATATTGCACTATATAAGGATGTCCCACTATATAGACTCCATTCCCACACTAGGCTCAGAAATACCCAACTCAAAATTCATCCAGGGGCCAGGGAGATAGCTCAGTAGAATAAGCACCTGCCTGGCAAGCGCAGGGTCCTGAATTCAATCCCTGGTACTGCAAAAAATAAATAAATAAATACATCCAATCTTTGTGATCTAAAATGTTTCATTTGGCACAGCCCATCCCTAAAGTATACACAGATAGGTACACATGCACACCAAATGCAGTATCTTTTCACTTAGTGAAAATGCAAATCACATGGCTATTAAAGAACTGTGTGTGATCTTGTTCCATAGCGGTAGGGTTACCACATCTGTGGAAGATAAAGAATGAATTCCTCTGCCCCTTGTGGTGTGTACAATCCCAACTAAAGCACCTCCCTCTGAACAGCTGGACATCTGGGTGGCATTTGACTGGGGGGCCATAACTGCTCTTTAGTATTATTTTCTTTTTATTATTACTAAGGTCATGGGCAGGAACTAAGCATGGACTCACTCCCCTCACATTGTTTCTAGCCAGCCAAAAATAAATGTTCTGCCTTTCCTAACCTTGCTAGTAGTTAGGGAAGCAAACGAGTCACATCCTTAGGTCAATGAATGGCTGAAGACAAAAGCCATTTAAAGTAGCAGCCCTTGGCTTAAGAACTGTTACCTGGGTGCGGTGGTGCACATCTGTAATCCCAGCAACTCTGAAGGCTGAGACCCTATCTCTACATAGCAGAAGGAAAAAAGAGGAGGACAAGGGGAGGCGAAGAGACAAAGCGCCGGGAAGGAGCGGGGAGAGGGAGAAGGAAAAGGAAGAGAATGATAAGGACAAGGTCTACGGAGAGAGCTACAAGCTACACTGAAGCTTGAAAATTGCTGTGATAAAAGCCAAGATCCCCATTCCTTGTGGGTACAAAATCCGTTTCCAGTGGCCCTCCTATGATTTCACTTTGGGACACTGACACCACATCAAGAACAGTTGGTTTCCATTGTGTGCAGTAGTAAAAGAAACTGAACACTGCCTTGCCCTAGGCCCGCCATGAATTCTACTTCACTACAGTGCCTTCTTCCTGCAAAGCAGGATCAAGTTCTTGCTTCTATACACTCATGGGATTTGGAACTCCAAAAAGGCCGAGTACCATTTGTAGGTTTGAGAAGCAGCAGAGTACATCTGTCCACACAGGCATTTCAGCGCTTAGTCTCCTGCTCTCAGCCCTCATCGCTCGCTCTTCTGTGGTCTCCCCATCTCACCCATCAGATCGCTCATTTGTGACCTCACTCCTTTTAAAGCTGGTGACATCTGGTGAGCCAGCAAGACCCAGCCCTTCTAAATCTCTGTGCCTCCTCCTGAGGGCAGCACACCTATCCCACTCTTCCTCTCTAAGGGACAGGGCCCGAGCATCCATCACTAAACCCCTGAATCAGAAGCATCCAACAAAATCAATGAGGAAGCATATTACTGTGGTGTTAAGGAACAAGGCACTACCTGAGTATTTAAAAATATGTAATACCCAGGTCAAATTCCAGACCAAAAAAAGAAATATCTGGATGTGGGATTCAAGTATTAGAATTTCTACAGATCTTCCCAAGGTGATTCTAAAACACTAGACAAGGTCAAGAACCACAAGGTGATCACAATACATAACCCTGGGGATTGTTGCCACACAGGAAACACTGTATTATTCCTAAATCAGTGACCTTTAGGACAGACATCATTGAGGAAGAGTAATAATTCACTAGCAAGAAACCTCACATGGCTGTTTTTAAATACAGTTCCAAATTCTTGGATACTTCTCTTGAGAGGTGGAGCACGTCGATTTCCCCTTGAATGTGGATAGACCTTGGACTACTTCACCCAAAACAGTACTGCAGAGTTAATGCTATCTTAGTTCCCAGGCAATGTCACAAAAGGGCATCTATTTTTGCCAACTGAGATAGTCATTGATGATACTCTGCAGCACTACAGAAGAGGTCTGACACCTGCCTGCGGCTCTCTCATTGTAAGGAAGATCAGCCAGGTGAGAAAGCCACGCACGGGCCTGTTCTTGCCTACTGACAACAGCATGGCTTAGCTGAGTACCAGAGAGATTAGCAGTCCGCTCAGGGATTCTAGGGCTCAGAAGCACCAACTGAAAAAATGTTTTGGAAGGTCTCTCAATTTGTCCATCACTTGTTTTCCATTTTTCTTCCAAATCTAAGATCACTCCAACTTACAATAAAACTACAAGTGTCTGAAGCTACATATTAACTTTGCTTTTGATTTGAATAGATACAGGCTAAGTTTGAGTCAACACAGGAAAAGTACTTTTACTAGGAAAAGGCCAGAAAAAGTCTGTAACATAAAACCACCTAAGCTCAAGGAGACAAATGCCAAGTACTTTGAAAGATGAAAGAAATGAATGTACTTTAATAATTTGAATATTGGTCTGCAGGTCTCCAAAGAGGTACTGATAAACTATGGAATCCATTAACATTAACTTATTTGGGGAAAGGGTTTTTGCAGACAGAATTAAAGACCTTGAGATAAGACCATCCTGAATTTTCTAAGAGTCACTCACAGACAAAGGAGCAGGTGATGTGACCACTAAGGAAGAGACTGGAGAGAGACATTCACAGGACAAAAACTGATGACAGCCACCAGAAGCATTTAGGCAAAGGACAGATTCTGCCCTAGAGCCCCAGAGGAAATATGACCAGGTCAACACCTGCGTTCTTTTTAACTTCAGCCTCCTGAACTGTGAGCGAATAAACTGCTATTCTCCTAAGGTGAGAGCTTATGATTATTTGTCTCAGAAGCCATAGAAAAGTAAACCTACTAGAAAAAAATATTTCGTTGTTGAAATATTCTGCTTCCCAATACCAGCAAAATTTCACGAAGTGAGTTTTAATCTTTATACCTGTACCTACAGGACAGATTCAGTTGACAAGTGTTACTTCTACTACACACTATCACCTTTGCACTACTATTGCTATTTTTCTTTCTGCTTAGTATTTTTGCAGTTTCACGTCAGTGTACGGCCCAGTGGTGACCTTGAGGTTACGTTTATGACAATCTAAACAATCGGAGGGAAGGTCTTGACAGCATTCTGCTCTTGCCCATGGTTCCATGGCTCGCTGTGTGCGGTGCGGAGTGGAGCTCAGGTCAGAAAGAAGAGGGAGAACGCAAGGTGGCCGCGCTGCAAGGTGTCCAGTCTCTAGGTGACAGTCGGAAAGCATGCTTTAAGAAGTGTGAAAATTCCAGTTGAGGGATACCCTACAAAATATCTAAGCGGTACTTCTGCAAACTGCGGCTAGACGTCATCACAAGCGAGGAAAGTAGGAACGGCTTTCACAGCTCACGGGCACCACGAAGAGGAAAAGTAGTGTGGCATCCTGCACAGAAAAAGATGAGACCGAAAGGCAATCTGGGTGAGATGGTGCCGTCAGGGAGGAACCAGCGATGCCAGTGTTGGTGCGCTGCTATCATAACTGTCCTGAAATAATGGGCGCTCTGAGGACGCTGTGATGGCCGTCATCAAGAAATCAAATAATAATAAATGCTGGCGAGGCTGCAGGGGGAAAGGCACCCTTCTACACTGTTGGTGGGAAAGTGAACTAGTACAGCCGCTGTGGAAATCAGCGTGGAGACTTTCCCAAAATAGTAAAAATAGCAATTCCGTTGGACCCCGCTATTCCCCTTCTGAGTACATTCCCGAAAGAGATGCATCATATTTCAGTAATACATGTATAATCATGGGTATGCCAGCGCAATTCACAATGACTTTTGGCAAACACCCATATGCCCTTGGCATTTACATACAATGGAGTACTATACCGCCACGGAGAAAGATAAGCTCGGGGCATCAGTAGGTAAGGGAACTAGATCAGACACACAAGTTTAAATATAGTACGGTGTCTCTTCTACAAGAAACACAAAATATAAATACGCAGCAAAATAAAAGAAAAATAACGAAATCATTTTCAAATGGAGAGGGGAACAAGAGATGGGAGAGAGAAAGGGAAACGCATTTCTAAAAAATGGAATAGCAGAAAAGTGGCAAGAGGAGCTCTTACAAGTGGGAAGAGGAACCAGAGCCGCGGGGCGCGCGTCGCGGGCGAGGTGTTAGGGGAAGGGTCAAGGAGCACCGCGACAAACGCAACTGTCATGCACTGCAAACATGCACTCCTTAAAGGAAAACATTAAAGGGAAGAAACGCCAGCTGCGTGCACCCACATTCATATTTTAACCGAGAAATAGGAGGAAGTGAAACATTTAACACAAATCAGCAATGTTGAGGAAATTCTCCGTACTGTTCCCCAGAAAGCCAGTCCCTATCGTGAGGAACTGAACGCGGCTTAAAGAGCGTCTTGGGGCTCCGGGCGGCGGCGGCGGGGCGGTCGGGGTCGGCGTCGCCTGCAAGCCCGGGCAGCTCCATGCGGCGCGCGGGGGCGGGGACAGCTCCACCCGGCGCGCGGATCGTTTTCCGCGCCCCATCTGCTCCCTTCCCGGCGGGCCCGCGGGCTCCGGACCCGAGCGGTCTCCTCCGCATAACAAAGGCGCCGGCTCCCGCCGCCCGCGCCCGCCCGCCCGCCGCGGGAGTCCGCTCCGCCGCGAGGTTTCCGAGTACCCGGAAGGGGGAGGGGGCGCCGCGGCAACCGCTGGGCGGGGGCGCAGAAGCGCGCGACTCGGAGCGCCAAGCCCTGAGGGGCGGGCCCCCGGGGCGTGCCGCCGCGCGATTGGCCCGGGCCTTCTCGCCGGCCGCCGCTGATTGGCGGATGCTCAAATTCGGTCTCAAGGCGCCATAGAAGGTGTTTTAGCGGGGACCGCGATCCAGCCTGGAGTCGCGCGGGGCGGGTAGGAGCGCTGGCGCCGCCAGACGCCGCGGGTCCCCGCCAGCGCTGGGCACTCGAAGTCGGCGTCTGCGCTCCTCACCTGGCCTTCCTGATGTCGTCCTCCAGCTGCTGATACCTGCATCCTCTGTCCGCATCGGCGTTGGGCCGCGGGAATCCCGGCTGCGCAAAGCGGAGTGAGTACGCGTGCGGCCCCGGGCTGGCGGGAATCGGGGCGCGGGGGCCCTCTCGCCGGGCTGCCAGCCTCCACGCCCTGCGGGCCGGCGCGGGACCCGGCGTGCGCTGTGGCACCTGGCGCGCCCGGGCTGTGCGGGCTCCAGCTCCCGTTCCGCAGTCGTCGCCCAAGCCCGCGATTTGGGGGTTTCATTGGAAGGGTTTAACTCTGAGGTCTGCTTGAAGGCCTGGGAAGAACCTGCTCCTGGGTTTGCTCTCGCGATCAGGTTTCCTACCCCCCTGATTCAAACCCCCTCAAAGCTGAATTCCTCCCAGTTCTTTGCGCCAAAATTAACTGACCTGGCGAGACCCTGTATAGTACTTTCTGACATTTGCGCAGCAGCTTCCTGGCTTGGCAACTTTATTTTGCCCTGTTGCTTTTCATGAAGAATCAGTGTTTCTGTCGATATGTTTTTTTTTTTTTTTTTTTTTTTTTCTTCCCAGGTTTGCAGTAACTGTGTTCGCGTAAATTTTAGGTAGAGCTGGAGAGTGTCCACACTTCTGGAAACTCCCAGGATGTGTTTAGGGAAGGGGAAGGGCATGTTCACCAACAACTAATACGTGCTTTTGTGGGAGGAAAATATCTTAATATGAGTCATTTTTAATGGAACCGTGCATTACAGATGGAGGTAAATTGTTTAACACTAAAAGACTTGATCAACCCCAAGCAGACCAGACTAGAGTTGGCAGCTGAAGATGGGGAAAACGCGCAAAAGGTAAGCACCCCTGGGTACCTTAACCTCCTGCACACCAAAGGTGGGGATGTTGAATCCGCTTAAATGTTTCAGTATATCACCTGTATTTGTCTTACAAGGTTCCTAATTAATTTTGATGGACATGACAGAATCTTTTTAACAAATAGAACTGTCCAAACCATTCTTGTTTCCATTCTCTTGCCAGTTCTTGTGGAGTGGGTAGATGTAGTATTGGAGCCAGCTTATTTAAATTAGAGATATGGTGGACCTAGTGGTCAGTTTATAATGTTTACTGCTGTTGAGGATGGTTTGGTAGGAGTGTTGGCCTCAGGAAAATAGATTTGTGTAGTTATAAGTTCTGGATTATTAAAATGCTGAGCAAAGTGTCCTTACCAAGGAGCTGGCTGTCTCTTTCCCAGTTATCCAAGAATGTGGCCTGTGCCTACCATCTAGGAAGACAAAGTGACTGGCCCTACCAACATACTCTAAATATTTTGCAGTACTTTTGCTGTATTTATACTGAGCCCTTCTTTCTCTTTTTATACTCCTCGAATTGTAAAACTGCCTTTGAAAAATACTCATATCTGAACTATCACCTTGCCAACATCAGCACATTTGTACAGGTAAACAGATGACCTACCAAAAAGGCATCACAGCTTGCTAACAGTAGCGCTAAGCATTTTTAGACAAAGGCTAATAATACATATAACAAAGCTAGTTTTAGAAACTTCGAGTATAAATCTGAGAGAAGTTAACTTCCTTGAGCAGCGGACTTGTTTTGGTTCGTGGTTGTGTTTGTAGCCTTGGCATCAACAGTGGCCTGCCAGGTTGTGAAGCACCTGTTACATAACCTTTAAATAATATTTGAAGCTTACGAATTGTGAATAGGTATGCACTTATATTTATCCCAATATTTGATTCCTTTTTTTTAGGAAAAGAAGTATACCAAAGTGTGATTGCTTTAAAGATGACTTTAAATTGCCTGTGGTGTGTGAAGGTAGAAACTCCAATCCTTTAAGTCTATTTTTAGAGCTCTGGGTTGGCAAATTTCAGAGCAAAAGTTTTTGGTTTTCTTCATAATTTAGATGATTCAGCTTTGAAAGCAAATTTACATTTATACAAAGTCTAAATTGGTGTTCTGAGTTGGTGTTCTACTTCGTTCCTTGTGGGTCAGGGACTTGTCAAAAGCCGTCAATAAAGGTCCCCTTAGCCTCAGATAAAGTTGTGTCCATTTGAGCTTTCATGGTTTTTTGTTGTTGTTTGTTTTAAGATTTTAGGCAGTTTTTCTTTCTTTTTTCTTCTCCTTCTCCTTCTCTTTCTCCTTCTCCTTCTCCTTCTCCTTCTCCTTCTCCTCTTTCTTCTTCTTCATGTATTTGATTCAGGATTTCACTACACAGCCACCACGCCCGGTCTCGGTGGCAAGGCACTCGCAGGGGTGGGGCCAGCGCAGTATGTGGTGCCAGGGATTGAACCCCAGTCCCTGTGCTTGCCTAAGCAGGTGTTTAGTCCTCTGAGTTACCTTGCTAGCCTAGCTTTCATGTTTTAATGTGTGTACAGAAATAAATAGCTCAAAACAGGTCAGGAAAGTGGTTAAAATATTTGAAATAGAGTGCATGAGCAGGGATTGTTTCACCTGCCAGAGAAGTGACGCGATGAGAGCAGAGCGCTTCTGCCACGACCCTAGCAGGGGCCTTGCCTTCTGTATCGCTAGGAAGTGTGAGAAGGAGGCTTTGCAGGGATGATAAGAGTGTCGGTTTGAAATCACAGAATCCTAGGTTTGATTTCCTGCTCTACTTTTATCAGTGTGACCTCACACATATATTTGCAACAAATGTTTGTCTCCAACAGTGTGGATACGGTGGTTTAGTAAATCTCCTAACTTTGTTTAGCCCCTTTTCTTTCCTTCCGTGAATTGGAGCTAACACATAGCACCTCTCCCGTTGGGTTTTTGTAAAGCACCCAGCATCACGTAATCTTTACATTCCCTGAATTAAACAGACAGCCCAAAGTGGAATATGCCTTGCTGCTGAGTTACCTGAGAGACTTTCAGAGACCTAGACACAAAACTAGCCAGCAGTGCTGTGACTCAGTCCTGTCATAATGTGAGGGGGAACAAAGTACATGGGCATAATAGAGGAGAAAGAGGTAAACTCAAGGTATTTGGAAGGCTTCAGAAATGAGCAGCTGAGTGACACCATCCTAAAGAAGGGAGTTCAACAACCTACAAGAAGAGAAGAGTGAGAGAGATGGACATTTCAGGTAGAAGGAACAGCATGAGGTATGTGCATTCGAGAAATGTTCAAGAAGTTCACAGTGGCCAGAAGCTAGGGACCTGCGTGTTTCCTTCCATAAATGCCTCTGGGGGGATGGGGTGTTGTGTCTGCTTGATTAGTTATTTAGATGCTTTCCTTCGTGACTTCCATCTGCACATTGGTCAGGATCAGAAGTACTGTTTTGTACTTGCATCTTCTGTTCATTCATTCATGGAGAAACTTTTTTTGAAAACATAAAAAATGCTTTTAACATGTTTACCCAAACTTAACTGCTCTTAGGTGTGGACTTATACATAGGACTCTCCAGTACATAGGGAGGTAAGATTCTGCAGTGCCTTAGGGATGACAAAAGTAGCAAGTGGAGCGTTCAGGCGAAAAGTGTGGGGAGGGCTCTGTGCAAGAGCTCACACTTGAGCTGGGCTGGTGGGAGTGAATGCGAAGTTCTCTGTGTGCAAGTAGAGAGGAGGTAGTTAGTGATGTGGAAGTGACTGTGGCACAGCCAAAACCAGTGCCAAGACTTAGTGCACCTGGGTCTTTAAAAGTCCTATCTTTGCGAGTGGTTTGAGAAAGAAGGTGAGGTGAATTTGGACTCTATTTGTACTGTGTGATTTACAAGCAAGAGACAGCTAGTTGCCTGATTTTGAAATTTATGAAAGATCCTAGACTCGAAGTGAAACTTGGGCGTCATCGACCAGCAGGTTGACTTTAAATTTGTTTGTGAGATTAGGTGAACCTTCCCAGAGAAAGTGAGTAGTGAGAGAGGCCTGAAGGGTAATTGTGGACTTGTGCATTTTGTTAAGGGTGGGAAGAACAGGAACCAGTAAAACTAAGAAGGCACAGTCAGAAGAATGAGGAAAGAAAGCAGTATTTCAGAAGTGAGGGGAGAGGCTGGGGAGATAGTTTGGTGGTCTAAGCACGTGCCTGGCAAGCATGAAGACCCGGGTTGGATCCCCGATACCCCACTTCGTGTCAGCCCTGGAACCATGCTGGCCACCAAAACTGAGTGTGGTGATGCACGCCAATAATCCCAGCACTGGGAGACTGAGGCAGGAGAATTACTATGAGTCTGAACTGCATAGCAAGACCCTGTACCAAATAAATAAATGAGATTTTTAAAAATTAAAAAAAGAAGTGAGTGGCAGCACCCTTGGCTGCTGCAGGGAGGTCACGTAAGATATTTCATCATTGGTTTAAAGTGGCATTCAGGAGGTAAAAGCTGTAGATCTGAACAGGCTTTTAGGGAAAGTGCTGGGAGAAAGGTGTTCGAGCCCACAGCAAGATTACTTCTAGAAAGTACACTGTGTCAGGAAGGGCAGCTGGATCAGCAGACAGTGGAGACACCTCCTAACGTTTAGTATGTACAGCCCTCAACAAGAGGTAGGAGTTCAACAGACAGATCTGCCAGTGACACTGAGGAGAAAGCGAAGGCATGAGCAGCAGCGTCAGGGATTAAGTGCACAGGGCAGGTGTGAAGCAAGCAGGTGGACCGCTTGGGGGAGGTGTGGGCTCTGCCTGCGGGAGAATGGGGAGAGCTGCTCAGGTGCTGTCCAGGGCCAGGACGATGCCCAGGCCTGCAGATGGTATTTGAGTTTACATGACAGGCTCTGAGAAGATTGAACCAGGACAGGGGCTCAGATCTTTCAGCTACTGAGCCCTTTGTATGGCAGCATTCACCTGCAGTCACAGCACAGGTATCTTATTAATAAAGATGATGACGAACATTTGTGCAGCACGTGGCCCTTGGCAGCGCCTCCTGGGCATCGTCTGTGCTGATCCTCTGCCAAGATGCCTCACCTCCTTCTGTCTGAGAACTGGAGGACCAATTCCCAGGTTCCATTCTCTAGGCTGTCATCGAGGAAGTGGTTTTTAAGATGCTGCAGGCTATATTTTCTGATGCATCGATCTCACCTGGAATTCAGTATGAGGGAGTGCTCTTGGGTCCAAGGCCTGGGGGAAGGGACGGGAAGGGAATACAACTGGAGGAAGGGAAAACTGGAGTTGCCTATAATCAGAATAATAGTGTGAACCGTTGAGATTCTAGGGGACTTAGGTGTGATGCTGAGCTGGGTGAGGAGACCAGGCTTGTATGTGTAGTGCTACTTCTAATGGGCCTCTCCTGAAAGGGTGTGAGCCTGGACTCCTTGGTGTGACTTCAGCTGCTGAAGCAGGAAATCATTCATCCCCAAAGAGATCCTGCTGCATCGCAGCGTCCCCTGTGCACTTCGGCTGCCTCCCTGGGAAGCCTTGAAGAAAGCTACCTTGGCCTGAATTCTTTTTATATACAGAAACTTGTGGTCAGACAGAACAAGCAATACACAGTTGAAACAAACCAGATTCTGTTTACAAATGCCCATGCTAATCCCCTTTTCTGTGCCTTCTGCAGTGTCAGGATAACAGAAGAGACACATAGAGCAGGGTATAAAGCGTTGGTACACAGTCCTATCGCGCCATGTAACCAAACTCCCCTCCTGCTTTATTACTTAAACTGTGGTACAGAGATATCAAAGTGTATAAAGAAATAATCCATTGTGAATTGCTATCTAGCTTAAGAAAAAATACAAACTCATAGCTCCTGTGAGGACAGGTACTGTGGATAGCAGGGAAGGAGAATAAATATTTGTCCACGCAGCAATCCAGGGCTACACCCTGTCCCATGAGGCTGCCTTTGGGAATCATGAGGTAATTGAAGCACAGTGTTCGAGTCCACATAATGTGCATGGCATTGTGCCATGGACAGTAGGAATAAGACATGGAACTGACCACAAGTGCACCGTCTTGTCATGGAGACAGGACACGCAGCCAGGAAGTTAGGTAGCAGTATGATGTGCTACGTTACAGTAACTAGGTTCTATATTATATGAACTCTTAAGTGAATGGCAATAAAGAATGAGAATGTGTGGGAAAGGAAATGGTAAGTTTCTTGGGAGTTCGGTATATAGTAGGTATATTCCACTAACCCTTGAGGTTGCAGTTTTTATGCACTGACTTTCCAGTTGAGAGGATGGTTGTATCATGAGGTAAAGGACTTGCCCACCTTTACTCTGCCGAGTCACAGAGGCTGCTGAGTGGCTCCAGATCCTGCAGGCATCCCCACATCCCCATAGGGCTTCTCCCGAGACGCTAGTGGTGGTCATTGCTTGTTGAGTTGTTGGACCTGTGGAAGATAACTTCCCTCTGGTTTCATCCAGGACAGGTTCATTTCTAGACGCAGCAGTTTAGAAACAGCTGCTTTCAGCTCTTACCTACCAGTGATTTTGACCCGAGGTTATATGTGACCTAACACAGGTTACTTAGCTTTCCTCTGCATCGGTTTCTTCACCTGTAAACTGGAAAAGCAACAGAACCTCTGCCACAGGATTAGATGAGGAATTAATATACATATAATGTAGGCAAAACAGGATGTGGCCCTCAGTAACTTCCCTTGAGAGTTCACTGTAGAACTCTTCACCCAAAGGGCAGACTGCCAGGGCCTTGTGGAGACTTGAGTAGGTACAGTCTGCTACACTGGATACATACGGCCTCGATGGCATGAAAAATCATCTTCATCCGCACCCTTGCTGCCTCTTGCCCTAGGACAGTCACTGTGGCCAACTTACTGTTTGCCTTGAATCGAAGGTTGCTGCCCTACATGTAGTACGTGTGCAGGGAAAGGAGAGACAGATCCTGAAGTCATCCACCTTCATGTTTATGGAGATCACTGTTAGCAGGAAGTGGGTTGTGTAAGAAGAACAGAATCTGATTTGGGCAGAACCAGGGATCGAACTCACACTCTTGTGCTTTCCAAGCAAATGCTTATTCTACTGAGCCATCTCCCTGGCCCCGAGAATCTGGTTTTGGATGGCAGAAATATTTTAGAAAGAATAAAAGTTTTCAATTACTTGGTAATTCTAAACGTGGGCTCTAGGTACTTTGTCATGATGGACCCATCTCCAATCTTTGCTTATACTTATCTACAAACCATTCTCAAGTTACCAAAAAAATTAGAACTCAACTCAAGAGTTGAGCATTTAACTTACTGGCTGGGGCCAGCGAGATAGCGCAGTGGACTAAGAGCCTGTTTAGGCAAGCTTAGAGGCCATGGTTTGATCCCTGGCACCATATGCTGCGCCTGCCACCAAGTCCAGGCGTGGTGGCACGTGCCTGTAATCCCAGTGAAGGGGAGGCTGAAAAAAGAAAGATCACTACAAGTTCAAGCTGTGTAGTGAAACCCTGCATAAAATTAGTAATAGTTGAAAAAAAAAAAAAACCTTACTGGCAATTTGATGATCACCTTGGGTCATCTAAGCTTCTGATCAGTAGTGTTCTAGTTCAGCGGGCTGTGGGTTCAGCAGGCTGTGGGTTCATCCTGAGTGACAAGCCAGAACGGCAAGTCACGTGTGATGAGAGTATGAAGTAAGATCAGCTGTCAATATGTCGGACTCTGGAAAGTTAAATTCCACGGATGGCTTAAGAAGTACAACTCTAGAATAACGTTACTACACAGCACTCTAGCTTTGCTGAAGGTGTGGCATTTGGCTGGATGCCCTTTCTACAGCCGAGTGTACTATAGTAATTGCTGTTGCACCGCTAGTAAACTTTGACCAACAGAAGCATAATTACTCCTCGCTAGCTAGGACAAACCTCTAAGTAGTGATTAAAAATATTTATGTAGTCCTTAGAAACAATGTGGATTCAACCTGTATTGACCTCCTTACCCCACCTGATGTAAGCATCAACCAGTAGTCATTGCAGAGACTACTTTCTCATGACATGAGAAAGTATGTTTTAAAAGGAATGCAGATCTCTTCCGTGCCACTGTTCAAATCCCATGAGGTCTTCTGTCCCCTTTCACTAACCCAACCCGGATCCTTTTCAACACACATGGTCTCTTTGTATTTCCAAGTCCAAGTGAATGGTGGGAACAAGCTACCTTTAGCTAATGCCTGCTTTCTCTTTGCTAAAAGTCTTTTTTTTTAATAGGAAAATATATTTGTTGATCGATTAAGGATGGCCCCAAAGACTCCAATAAAAAATGAACCAATTGATTTATCAAAGCAAAAAATCTTCACTCCAGAAAGAAGCCCTATTACTCCAGTTAAGCTTGTTGACCGACAGCAAACAGAGCCGTGGACACCCACAGCCAACCTGAAGGTGCTCATCAGCGCTGCCAGCCCAGACATTCGGGACCGAGAGAAGAGAAAGGGGCTGTTCAGACCCTTGGAAAACAAGGATGATGCGTTTACAGACTCTCTGCAGGTACCCAGGAGGTGCTCCGAGGGCTCTTAGAGAACTCAGAAAATGTTTGCTTGATTATGGAAAAGGTCACACAGTCCTCATTTTTCCATTCCTATTGAATCTGAAGCAGTAATAAACTTAGTATCTTCTTTATGTATAGCTTAGTTCTTATTCTGTCTTACTTTCGTAATGAACACTTTCCTCTCCTGTGTATGATACTTGGACCAAACCACATCTGAAACTGCTGATTTTTTAAAGTATTGATATAAGGATTTTAATGACAGGATTCAGATTTTTAAAAGCTGTGAATTTTAAATACCCTCAGATTTTAAAGATAATATTAAATCTAAATCTAAATAATATTAAAATTAAATCTATTTAGATAATATTAATCTAAATAATTTCAATTTTGGGAAATCATTTTCCTATATAGGTTCATTGCTAACATGGGGCATTTATAAAGTCAAGTAATCTATAAATTACCTGTTCATACAAAGAATTAGAGCTGTTAAATAAACAGTGTCTAAATGCGATGACCAGTCATTTTCACGGTTCTGTCAAACTTTTTCCCACACTTGGTAAGAAAAGTAACTTATATGTTAGAATGTTTTTAACTATTTTTCCTTTTTCATGCATTTTTAAGCTATAAAATGTGACAAAATGAAGAAATTGGAAGGGGAAAAGAGAAAAAGATACCCTGAAGTACAATTTGAATTTAATAGAACAAAAACTGAAAAAAATTACCCTGGTTATCATTGCACTGGTAGAGCTAGCAGATTCTTGCATGCAGCTAGATGCAAATCCTGCAATCTGGAGAGGGATTCCTACATGCTGAGCGCCAGAAAATGTTCATAACTTTTAGGCCTGGCTCTTCTTCAGCTTATCTTCTATTACATTTCATGCAGAGCCTTGCACACATGGCATTAGCTGAGTGACTGCAGGAAGCAGCTCAGGCTCTCAGGCTCTCAACTCATCTCTAAAATGGTGATCATGCTTTTATTGGGTTCATAATGGCTACATCAAACTGTATGTCTTGTGCACTCAAAGGCATATAAATATTAGGATTTTTTTATTTTTGGTTTCTTTAATTTTCTTGACAAAACAGAGCAAAGTGAAAATCACTCAGGAATTACAGTTTTAATAACCTCTTTAATTAGGTAACATTATTGATATCTTATTTTATTTATTATTTATTTATTGATTTATTTATTTATTTTGGCAGAACCGGGGATTGAACTCAGACCCTTGTGCTTGCCAAGGAAGCACTTATTCCACTGAGCCATCTTCCCAACCCCCCTGATATCTTACTTTAGTAGAAGTCATTGTTTAATATGCCCCTAGAATTTTTAAAAATTGTGGTTTTATACTCAGTTTTTGTTGATTTTTAGATTGATCAGTCACTAGAAATGTTTACAATAGTTAAGTGCCTAAAACTTGAGTGGCCTTAAAATAGGCTTTTCAGCTTTCTTTATTGCCTTTTAAAAGACTATTGGTCACTTATGTGTGCAGTACCGGTACCACCCACAAATCTGCCTCCCAGCCTAAAACCCAAAACAACTATTAATTTACATTGAATAATCACTTTCCTGAATTTGCATTTATCATTTGCTTGCTATTTCTACATGTGAGTTCCTATATATTATATTGCTTAGGTTGTTTTGTTGGGGTTTTAGGCTTTGTAAAATTAAAATGATACCTAGTATATTGTCTTTGGGGACTTCACATTCTTCAGTCAACCAACATTCTTAAGGCTCAGACAGGTTTTAGCATTAACTCTGTAATTTTCTTCGCTGTGTAACGTTCCACTGCATGAGTACGCTGAGATTTAATTAGCTGCTGTCCTATTTGTGGCCACTTGGGTTGCTCACAGTTTGGGAGGAATGCAAACTGTGCTTGCTCTACATACTTGTTTGTGTCTTCTGGTGTAAATACTAGCTTTTCCCTGGGACATTGTCTCCCAGGTGTGGCCTGGTAAGCTTAATGTACCCAAAGCATTCGTCAGAAGGCAAGGAGGTCAGAACTATTTTCATAAAACTACCAAGCCATTTGCCACTTGAGGTGTCGTTTTCTCTTGAGCCTTTTATGCTGAAGCTTTCTAGGAACTAACATATGTAATTGAATACAAAAGAAAGCAGTTCCTCTCTCTAAGAGCAGACCCCAAGAGAGTCCAAAAAGCATAGGAAGCGCCAGCCTTTTGTCACTCACCAGTTCAACTGTCCGTTTTAATTTTTTACTTGGTAAATATCAATAGAGAAAACCTACATGTTAAAAAAGTTCTATGAGTTCTTTCAGTCATTTTTAGCAGTGTAAAGGCATGGACCCTTTGAGCAAAAAGTTTGAGGCCAGGGATACAGCTCCGTGGCACAGCGCCTGCCTGGCAAGTACAAGGTCATTTCCCGAGTTCAAGTCGAAGTACCCAAAAAAAGGTCAGTAGTGTTTGAGAACTGTTTGGGGTGGACAGCTGCTAGTGGAGTGGCCTTGTCATTGAAATGAAGTTTTTCACAAGATAATGCCAAATGACTTTGTGCAGTATAATTTGCTTCCACGAGTAATATCTAAATATTTGTTCATTCATATCCTCTGACTTGAAATTGTCAAGTTTATTAATTTCTGGTGTCACAGGTGTACAGTTTTTATCTCAGCATGGTAGTCATTTGCTTTTCCTTAGTTACTCACGAAGTTATGCTTATTTCCTCATGATTGTGGACTACTGTGTTTTTTCCTCTTTTGTGCAATGTGTGTGTTCTTTGCTGATTTTTAGTTACTCATTTTTCTTTTTTATATGAATTTGTACAAGATATAGACACACACAGACACACACACACACACATTACTAGGAATCTAACTCAGGACCTTGTGCTTGCCAGGCCGGCACCTTCCCGCTGAGCTATATCCCCACTCCTGTTGAATATATTCTTGATCCTAAGTGATTGTCAACTATATGTATTAGGTATATATTCTTTCAGTTTGGTAATTGTCTTTTCCCTCTCCATCCTTGCCTGATAGACGAATGAAAGTTCTGCAGTTTAACATGGTCCCGTGTATAAATCTCTTCTTCTAAAGGAAGTATTTTGCAAACATAAAGAGATCTTTCCCTATCCTAAAGTTTGAAAAATATTCTAAGACCAGCAAGATAGCTCAGCACACTAAAGCACCTGCTGAGGCAAGCTTAGGCAAGGGCAGGG